AACTCCTATATGTAACCTCAAAGTCGCTTTTATAGCAATGCCGGGAGCTTCTGCCTTCTGGTATATAGAGAACCAAGAAAATGGTTCTGATATTAGCTAGCTGATACCATATGCACTGTTTATTTGCTGTAGGTTATATCGAATATGAGAGTGTTAATGACAGAAGATTCTAACAATGCCGTCAGTAGTTCTTTTCTACTGGATGACGACTCAAGGTAAGCCGAGAAAACCCAGACCATGTCCTGTTTTCTCATTTCCTGCAATTATTTCAATGTGGCTGCTGACTTGTTATATTCTTTGTGCAGTATACCGTTTTCAGTGGATGACATGGCAAAGTCTACAGAGGAGATTAGTATCTCAAAAATTGAAATTCCTCCTCTCATTCGAGATAATACCGGATTTAGCTTCTTGTCGGAAGCATAGGTTGTATCGGATCGAATTCTTGGTGCTCTGGATATCTGCCTCCTTTGTGAATTCCTTTCTCTCCAGCCTAATGCTTGTGCAGGCCTTGTGAACTTGAGAGGTGACAGATTTTGGCCCAAGGAGTGTACATCTTGCTCTCTGCATATAAAGTTACAAACGACCCTTGAGGTGAAAATGCAGTAGTATTTTTGCGTTCTTACTGGGCAGTAGACGAGTGACAACCTCCCCCAACTAACTAATACGTCGAGTAGGGCTTATTTCCAGATTCGCCGAACAATTTTTGTTTGAAGATAGTTAAGAATATAGGAGGTTTTGTAGATTAGAAAGGATGTTCGGCGGATGGATTGCCCTCCCAGGCTAGAATATTTCATTCAGACATTTGCTCGGCTTCAACGCCAAATAAGTGGGAAGATCTAGCTTCCTCATCTCATGTAATTCTTATCATCTGTTTATAATTTTAAGTATATATTTATAAAAGGCAGCCTTGCCGCTATTCTTTGATGAATCCTTAGGAAATACCAAAATTTGTATTGCTTTACCACCACAATTATGCAAATTATGTACTCCGTACTCTCATTTCGGGTTTCACTATAACTCTATAGTATAAGGCATTCAAAGTACAACTATAACCATATCAAGACGACAACAGTGACATTTGTATATTTACATATTAGTGACATGATGCTTATTTTTACTAGTATATGGACGGTGTAAAATTGTAAATAGTCAAATGTCGAATGTATTAAGAAATAAATAGAAGTATATATAATATATCCGCGATTTTTTCACCTTATAATAATAAGGTTTAGGTAAGAATAAATCCAGATTAGTTTTAAAAAAATTTATTACTCATAAACTATTAATTGTTCCAAACTCCCAATGATGGCAACCCAAATTTTACAGCAATCTCGATGACTTCATATTAGTACTGATTCATATTAGTACCGATAAGCAAATTTTAGATACAAAGAGCACAACTAATAATTTATATTACATAACTTTTACCTGTACTTTTATCTTCAAAAATAAAAAGTATTTCATGATATTGGAGTTCAAAAATGTATACATACATACTATTATACTACACACAAAGAAGAATGCGTGGTAATACTAATAATCATGGACTATAGATATCCTCAACCACTTTTCACTGGTTGGCCTTTTTTGGTCGTTTGGCCTCTTTCTTTCATTTTGTGGTAAAATTTTACGTCATTTTTTTTTGGTTACCAAGCCAAACAAGTCTTTCTAGGTTAGAATAAGGACACAAGTTTATGCTGTTACGCTGTTGATAGATTGTATATATATACCATTTCTTCAATTCTAGGTAATTTCCCAATTTTTATTATGACATTATAGTGATAAACAAATCTAAATATCATATCATATCATATCACTAATAAATAAAGCCGATCCCCCAGCCAGGCCACGAGACATCGACACTCGGCATTCCAGTTTTTCGCCAAGTGTCGAGCCACGTAGGCGACAAATAGGTATTATTGTGACACATATGATGCTAAGTAAGCGACTTTTGGATAGATTTTTTAAGATAAAAATGTTGTATAGTGTTTTATTATTGATATACTTCTAATATTTCATATATACAAAATTAATTATAACTTTTAATAAATATCTTATGACTCAGTACTATTTCCATCATAAAATTCATTTTAAAAAGTTCTTTAAAATGAGATCCATTTTTAATATATTTTAATAAAAAATAGAAAATCAGTAAAAATAAGTTTTAATAATTTTAGTTTGGTAAAAATACTTTCAGTACATTAAAAATAATTTAAGTGCAATAAAAAATCAAGTTAATAATAACATAGATATCTATTTACAAATAAAACTACAAAAAGTACACTATTATATAAATAAGTGATATGATATCATATGTCTGAATACTTTACATTATCAAAAGGGGTTATATGATCGTATTTAAGCTAAAATATTTTAGACAATTCGAGCATCGCCCGGGCACAAAACTATTATTATATATATAAAGGGGAGTTTTTTCCCGAGTTTTTAGAGCGCCACGTAGGATTTTAATTTTTAAGAAATTATTAGAGCGCCACTTAGGATTCATATTTTTAAAACGCTACAATCGGATTATGCCACGTAAGATTAGTTTTTTAAGTGCTACGTAGGATTATAATAATAATAATTAAAAAAAAAGCGACATGTAGGATAAATAATTTTAAAACGCTACAATAGGATTATGCCACATAAGATTAGTTTTTTTAAAGCGCTACATAGGATTACGATAAAAAAAATAAAAAATTATCAGAGCGACACATAAGATTATTATTTTATTATCATAAATAAAATTAAATGATTTATTTGGGTGATTAATGAAACCAACTTTATGATTAATTTTTACAAAAATTACAAATATTAATATTATTACTTAGATATAGGAATATTATTATTTAGATATAGGATTAATGGAAATTAAAGGGATCAAAGTAAGAAATATCAATTATTGAGTTAGGATATTCAACCTTCAATCAAAAGTGAATAAAAAGGACAAGAATGTTGACTCAAAAAAATGGAATATTATGTTGTTTGTAAACATATGATGGGAAATTAGAAGTTTTCAAATTTTTTTGTCAAGAAAATTTCAAATTAGAGATAGAGCGTCACATAGGAAAATGCTATATTTTAGCCAATGAAAAAAGAATTGTAATTTATTTTAGATTTAAAATTTATATTAATTATAAAAATAAAATCAGCGCATTTTCTGTGTGGTTGGTCATATCGTGTGGCCGGCTGAGACACACTAAAATATTGATTGGGTAACCCTTGACCGTCTGCATAACTTTTGATCGATCGAGTAATCCTTGACCAACCGAGTAACCCCTGATCAAGTACCCAACCACACGTTGTAGCCATATGAAACTTTGTGAAATAAAATATTATCTTTTTATATTTAGAATTTTATCTAATTATGAGAAACAAAATTGATAATTCGTTTTATAATAAAAAATTTCAAGTGGTAAGCAAGCGAAAATCACAAAGCTAAGTTTATCGGATAAATATATATTTGGTAAAATATTTTATTTGAAAAAATACAAACAACCGTGCATCGCACGTGCTTCATCTAGTGAATATCTAAATATATGCATGAATGTTCATTTCTAAGATATGTAGATATCTATATCCTATACTAAAGTGAAGTCTTTTTTGGAGGGAATTTTTCCCTTCTAAACTCTACTTTTTTTCTTTTTTTTTTTCGGCAAATTCATTAATTTATATACAAACTTCATTATTTATTTATTTATGGTTGGCTATTGACTTACATTTTATATAAAGACTTCTATGAAGTATTAATTACTACACTGTATTAATTTTTAAAACCGAGCATGGCTTGGGCATAATCTTATATAAGTTGAACTAAACATAGCATTAATTTGGGTAAAATAGGGATGTAAGTGATCAGAAAACAATATATTATATGTGTGAATGTGACTATTTTGAGTATAGGGATTTACTAGATAAACTACATACATAATAATTCTGGTACTGTCAAAGTGCCAAACTTAGGGCATCATATAATATTTGTAAATGAATATATGTGATGATGTGATTCAATTAGCTTAAAGTTCGTCTGACTTCTTCAATAAATACAAGTATCATTGACTTTTTCCTTGTCAAAAAACAGAGAGAAAAAAAAAAAAAAAAGTATCATTGACTTGTTTAGGGTTCATTTGGTATCGTTGTGATTTTTTGTTTTTTGTTTTTCAAAATCATATGATATATGTTATATAATGAATCAAAAATTAGTCAAACTTATTAAAATCATGATAATTTTGAAAACTGACAACAGAAAGTGGAAACATCTTGTTCTTGTTTTCAGTTTTTTGTTTTCAAAAAATCAAAAAACTAAAAATACTAGTAAAACAACGCCAAACAAACCTTTAATTGCTTGTTAAAAAAGATCTACTCCTTTTTTTTTTTTTTTTTGAAAGAAATTACCTCACTTATGGAATTAAGGCTTTGATTGATTGATTGAAAGAAACTACTCCCTCTCTGTAGAAATAACTATCATCATAAAATTATGTACACTAATATGATGAGCTCCTAGTGACTAGTGTAATATGGAGTATCATGCATTTCTACCATAATTGATCTATAAAAAAATTGCTTTTCTACAAGTAATAATAAACTTATAATCTACAAAGATATGGTCAATTTTATGAATTGGGAACATTAAAAGAACCAAAAGAAATTAAGCACTGTTAAATTACCTCAACTAATTTGCGTACTGGTACGATTAAATTAGTTAACTTAGCATGCACATATTTAAAAATACTACTGCTAAATAATCAGTTGCACTAGCTATTGTATGTATGTATGTAATTCTTAGCTCGGCTTGGCTCGGCTTGTTAACACTCCTATACAGCTACACGTATTAAATTGAAGTTATGTTTTCCTTTCTCTCTCTTTCCTTCCTTATTTCTGCAAAAGGGAACCACCTGGCTACCTAAGTCACAACTTACATTGAATAAGCAATATGCTTGATATAGTATCAGAAATTTTCAGGTAAGTGCATTCATAAATTAAATGACATATCTCATGTATATATATTTCTTAGTCTTATTATTATTAGCTACCAACAATCTTTCAACTTTTCTACTAAGCAAACTCTTGCTCTTTTTACCTTACAGTACTCAATTCCCACCAAACAAACACTCTCAACTCCATACCTTCTTTAATGTTTTTCTAAACTCTCTCTTTCTTCATCCCTCGACGCCCCTTGGCCCGGCCCTCAACAACCATTTTCAAGGGAACCTCCATCTTCAAATCGCGGTTAGTTGTTTTGTGACCATGGAAAGAGGTCTATTGAGTAGTGGTAGTAGCAAAGTGAAAGATGGTTGGGAGATTAGTGAGAATAATTTGAAGTTTGACAAGGATTATCCTTATGGATATCCATGGCCTCCAAAGTATTATTCATGCAGCTTTTGTCAAAGAGAATTTCGGTCGGCTCAAGCTCTTGGAGGTCATATGAACATCCATAGGAGAGATAGAGCTAGGTTAAGAGATCTATCTCTTAATAATAATTCACTATTATCTAACGAATTTGATCAAAATCCTAACCCTAACCCTAATTCTAATCCAAATCCAAACCCTAACCCTAACCCTAATTCTAACCCTATATTTACTTTCTCATCTTCTTCTTCTCCAACAAACAACAACAACATCTATGCTCACCAATACTCCTTGGTTTCGCTATCTCTCTCCTCCATCACACCGCCAACAAAAGAAAGAAGAGATAGTCATTCTCAAAATGTAGGAAAATGGAAATATGTTCCTCACTCTTCCATTGAAGATCATGATCAAGAAGATGAAGTTAGGGTTTTAAGTAGTACTACTCGCGCTCCATCTAAGGAAGTTGTAAGGTTGGACTTGGAGCTATGTCTTGGAGAAGCAAAGGAAGATTTAGATTTGGAGCTTCGCCTCGGAATTTAGTAGCCTGCAACTACTGTTAGGTTGTTAAATTATTTAACTAGCTTTAAATTATGCTACTCCATATATAAATTGATCTGTTAGTTTGTTCCCAAGAAAGTGATGAAGGAAAAGTTTATGGAGCTGCTTTCTTCTCTTTTGTCTTTGCCTTTTCAGCAACAACTACTTTGTTGAGATCAAGTACATGGCTTTCAATAATTTTAAGGTATGGGCGCTAATTATTAAAAAACAATAACAAAAAAAAAAAGGGGGATCTTTTAATTCTCCGTTATTTAGATAAGTATGATTATAAATTATGTAACAGTATAAACTCTTTTGATTTTTTTTTTTTTTTTTTTTTTTTCATGATGTTACATATACTGGTAGCTTGTGATATGAGAATTAAGACTCATTATTTATTTGGTTATTCATTTTAATGTTTTATAATATAATATCCAATGCTAGTATTAGTTGAATTGAAGTTTGATCTTTATAACTATCTATTTATCTATGTAATTAAGTTTGTAAAATAATTAATTAGTTAAGTAAATAGTTAATTAATTAGTTAAGTAATTATCTATTTATCTATGTAAGTTTGTAAAATAATTAATTATCTATTTATCTTCTGGCTCGTGTGTGTAAGTAAGTGTATAGACAAAAGTAAGGTACTATACGACTGGAAAATCAGAAGTCATAATTGTATGAAGAAATGATGCACATGAGCATAACTTAAATGAAAGTATTCATTGGTGGCAAAATCTAGCTTACCTCATCACTTTCATTGGGAAATGTGATCAACCATATATTCGTGATACAATGCTTCTTATACTGTTCATGTGCCTTTTAGATCTTTTGTTTTGAAGTTAATTTCATATATCAATGGCTTATAAGATTTATAGATCACCATAGCTAATCATGGTGTTGTTGATGCTAGCTTAGTATATCGATCTGATGTACAAAGTATAATATACTCTGTATGATATAATCGATATGTCGGTCTCTCTGTCCAGAATTAATAATTAAATTTTCTATAGTACTGTTTTAGGGTTTTTTTAACTAAGTCACTACTTAAATCAATTATGCAAGTACTAAGTAGATCAATGATATATAGAATGATACGCCTTTTTACAAATATTTTCTTCATTTTTATATCTTATATTTTACTTTGGCATACCTCTGATCTAGTTATGAGTGTTTGGGTATGTAAATTTGACATGAGCTGATGGCTTAAATCTGAATAAGAGAGTATTTGATATCATAGAATACTTGAGATTTAATATATATTGTATGTGCTTATTTGTTGTTGACTTAATTAGAACTTTGAGCTTTCAACATATTCAAGGTTAATTAATCTATTTATTAGTATGTCATGTATGTAATAAACTCATTTTTTGTATGTGAAATGTCATGTTTTAACTCTTTTAATAAGTCTAATAATTGTATACCTTGTATATATTAACTTTCGAAATCTCTAATTCTATTAAAACAACAATTTAATATAAGAAAAAGAACGCTAAATCAGAATGAAATCACATTAATTGCATCGAACAAGCCTAATAATCATATATATCTCCCTAATGTATCACCTCCATCAATACATATATATAGCTTGTATTGATATAGAAAGAGTTTGGTTTGTTGGCTATTTAATATCAATGATGTATGCTCAAAATGACCTCCAATGGGAAGTGTCATCTCCATCAAAGCTATCTCGATCAATCAACACACTTTCATGTCCATTTTAGCATACCTTCGTGTTATTACTTATTACTATATAACAAATCTACATGCCAATAAATCAAAATTAGTACCTACATCCATGTTTCTAATACACCTATATTATTGTTTTTCTCAATAAGCTAAGCTTAATTCGTTTGGTTTAAGTTGTAAATTCTTTATTTTTAAACATACTTTTACAATAAAGGTAATGGAAAAAGAAACATTAAGAAACTCTCCTCGAGTCTTTCTATAGACATGATACTATATAATTTAGGAAACCATACTATTACTAACTAAATTAAATGACCAACATTAGCAATCCAATCTATTGCTGAATCGCCTCCCGGTCTATACACTTGTATCATGCAATTAATACAACATGGTTCAATTCATACTAGTAGTAAAACCTGTCAACTAAAAGAAGTACACTAAACTGCAGCTTAGTATACTTTTATGCTTTCGTCAAACGAATGATTTTATGGGACAGATATTATTGAGTTTCCCAACATCTGAAAGACTACGTAAATTTAATTTTCTGATAGACATACACGACCATTTTGCTAAAGAACAAAATAAAAATGACCAATTATACAATTTATATATATATTTCAGATAGAAATAACACTAGAAATATTTTGAAAATTTTATGTAAAAAAATATAATTTTCGCATGTTCCCTAGATGTCTCTGAATGTCAGATCAGTGGCATGATGGCCTTTCTATATTTGACACGCTTGTGAATTAGCCAAGTTCTTACTATTTTTAGCAAACACTCTCTCCTTCTCTTTCTCTCTCTGCTCTTTCTGTGTTCTTAGTACAATGAGAGATAATAGGATAATATGTTTATTACAACTTTACAAGTATGAACGAACGATATATCTAGGTTTATGTGTCTGTGCACGTATAATTTTGTAAGGAAAGTTTAATGCAGATATACAGATACACTACGTACGTATAGTACAGTATGTCGTAATAATACGTCTTTTCTAAGCACATATGTACCTAATGTACGTACTTTATATGTTCTCTTGTTTCTATGGTTTTTTTTATTGTCTAGCAATTATGGGCCGGGTTACTTAACATAACAACATAATACTACTTAATCAATCTTGTTTTTGCAATAATTTATATTAAATCTAGCTATATGCATGTTGCATATTATACTATGTGTTACATACACTTTCATTCAGATTTTATAACCCTATTCGTCATCATTATATTCTTCTTTTTTTTTTTCCACTATGTGTTGTTTAAAACGAAGGTTTTAATAGCTAAAACAAAAGAAACTTGAAGTGAAACTTTGCTATGCCAAAAGCGATCTAAAGCTATGTACAACCTAAGAGTAGGCCAGGAGCTAATGCTTGAACACCTACAAGTTTTAACCTAATAAAGAGCACTTGGAACGTACTACAAGCGTCTCATCACCAACAAAACTCAAAACACACCTTTTACATCGCATGCACCTTATGCTTTTTCTCATCATTGGAGATAGAGATATACAGGGGCGGACCCAATTAAGTGACATGGGGGGACAGCTGTCCCCCCAATTTAAAAAAAAAAAATTAAAAAAAAAAAAAAAAAAAAAGCAAAACAAATCGCACAGCGCTGCTCCATTTCAATCTTCACTCCAATTCGCCATTACCACTACTCCACTAGTCCACTGCGTCGCTGCTCCACCATTCCACCAACCGGCGACCGTCGAGGCTTCGTGCGTGCGTGGTGCGTCGCTGCTCCTGTGCGGCTGTGCTCCATCTTCAGTCTTCGCTGCAGGCGCGTGCGTGAGTGCGTCAGGCGTCACTGGCTCGCTGCTCCACCGATCACCGACCACCGCCTGTCCGCCTTGGCCCCTGGGTTCCTCACCACTCGCTGAGTCGCTGCTAAACTTATGGTATGTCTTGCTAAGTTGCTAACCCTAATTCGAATTTCGAAATTCTCAATTTGTTAATTTGAAATCCCCAATTCACCAATTGTTAACCCTAATTTCCAGATTTTTGTTGAATTATTTTAATTTTAATTGCAATATTTGTTGAATTTTAATTTTAATTGCAATTTTAATGTTAGGTTTTATAGTATGCATTTATGCAATGATGTGAATTGTGGAAATTCCGAAATTGAATAATTGATATATATTTTTTAATGTAATTAGGAAATGTCAAATGATTCACCTAATTCAAACAAATCCAAGGCTACTAGAAAACAACCCGATCTTCGACAATTCTTGTCTAAAAGAAAGAAACTCCATGAAAATGAGTCCAATAACTCCCCTTCATTAAGCCCCCCTCAAAGTCAAGAAGATGATATGGAAATGGGTGGTTCAAGTACTTGTAATGTACCATTGGAGGAAAATTTGGTATACGATGTTGAACTTCTTCCTCATGATCCGGGAAAAAGAATAAACATAATGGATTACCCCGCAAATGAACGAAATGCAGTTAGGAGGGGTTATATTCTTAAAAAACCTTGCCAACCAAAAACTCATGACTTTCCTCAAAGACAAGTGTCTGGTTTACGTCGCTTTAGTGTTCATTGGTTCAAGAAATGGGATTGGCTTGAGTATAGTATTGAAAAAGATGCTGCATTTTGTTTTGTATGTTACTTGTTCAAGAATGAAGTTGATAGTTATTCGGGGGGTGATGCATTTGTTGATGGAGGGTTTAGGGCATGGAATAAACCGGAAAGATTTGAGAAGCATGTTGGTGGAATTAACAGTGCTCATAATCTTGCTTATGAGAAATATGTGAATTTAAGAGATGGAAAAAAAAAAATCAATCTTGAATGTGTTTGACAATGCAAGTGAGGTGATTAAAAGTGAATATTTTATCCGCTTGAATGCATCTTTAACTTGTTTAAGGTTTCTTTTGGGGCAAGGTTTGGCATTTCGTGGACATGATGAAAGCGGGGAGTCATATAATAGGGGTAATTTCCTTGAGCTTTTGAAATGGTTAGGAGAAAAGGTTGAGGAAGTAAGACAACATACTCTTGAAAATGCACCTAAAAATTGTCAAATGATTTCCCCTTCTATTCAAAAGGACATTATTAATTGTTGTGCCAAAGAAACAACTAGGTGCATAATAGAAGAAGTTGGTGATGATTACTTTGCCATATTAGCCGATGAGTCAAGTGATGTGTCCCAAAAAGAACAACTAGCTCTTGTTTTGCGCTTTGTTAATAGAGATAGTGGAAAGGTAATGGAGCGATTTTTAGGCATTGTTCATGTTGGTAATACTACCGCTTTAACTCTTAAAGATGCAATCATGTCTTTACTTGTTGAACATTCATTGAGTCCATCTATGATAAGGGGGCAAGGGTACGATGGAGCTAGCAACATGAAAGGTGAAATAAATGGTCTTAAGACTTTGATTATGAATGATACTCCAAGTGCCTACTACGTACATTGTTTTGCTCATCAACTTCAACTAACACTAGTTGCCGTTGCTAAAAAGAATGATAGTTGTGGTTGGCTTTTTGAGATACTTGCAAACTTATTGAATGTGGTTGGAGTTTCTTGCAAGAGAAGAGAAATGATTCGACAAGATCAAGCTCAATAAGTTGCTCGAGCATTGGATGTAGGGGATATTATGAGTGGATCGGGTTTAAATCAAGAACTTGGTTTGAAAAGGCCCGGGGATACTCGTTGGAATTCTCATTACAAGTCTATTTCAAACATCATCCTCTTATTTCCTACAATTGTTAAGGTACTTGTACACATTGGGAAGCATGGTGTATCGGAAGATAAGTTCAAAGCTCAAATTGTTTTAGGACAATTAGAGTCATTTGACTTTGTTTTTATTGCTTACTTGATGTTGACTATTTTTGGTTACACTAATGATTTGTGTGTTGCTTTGCAAAGAAAGGAGCAAGATATTGTAAATGCCATGGAACTTGTCACTTACACAAAATTGGTGTTGCAAAAAATGAGGGAGCAAGGATGGGATACTCTCTTAAACAAGGTAACTTCATTTTGTGCTAAACATGGTATTGTTGTTCCCACTATGGATTCTCCTTATGTTCCTCAAGGAAGATCAAGACGTTTTGTTGAAGAAGCAACAAATGAACATCATTTTCGAGTTGGAATTTTTGTAAGAGTGATTGATTTGCATCTTCAAGAACTTGATGATCGATTTAATGAGAGGAATATGGAGATACTAATATGTATGGCTTGTTTAAGTCCTAAAGATAACTTCTCATCCTTTGATAAAGATAAGGTACTTAAACTTGCCTCTTTTTATCCCGAAGAATTTTCAAGCTTTGATTTGATGGCTCTTGAATGTCAACTTGATATATTCATGGAGAATATGCTAAATGATGATAGATTTCAAGGTTTAAATGACCTTAACTCTCTTTCTATGATTCTTGTTAAAACTAATAAGCATAAGACTTTTCCTCTTATTCATTTGCTTATCAAGTTGATGTTGATTCTTCCGGTTGCCACGGCAAGTGTTGAAAGAGTTTTTTCCGCAATGACATGTGTCAAAAATAAGTTGCGAAATAGCATGGGTGATCAACTTATGAATGATTGTTTGGTCACTTTTATTGAGAAGGATGTCTTCCTAAGAGTTTCCGATGAAAAAATTGTTGATCGCTTCCAAAATATGAAGACTCGAAGGATGAAAGTGTAATTTTAATGTAATGTTTATGTAATTTTTTTCATCATTTGAATTGTATGACTAAGTATGTTTTTTATTTTGAAATTTTAATATTAAGTATTAACCAATTTGTGTGTTTGAGTTTTTTTTTGTTTTTATTTTTTGTTAAGCTTTTTGTAAGTTAAGCATTTTGTCCCCCCGAATTGAAAATCCTGGATCCGCCACTGGAGATATAGAGTGTTGTGGTGAAACACTACTCCACTCCCTCAACCTCAACGCTAGCTAGGTCGTTTAATACACTAGAGAATTGATTTTACTAGTAAAATTTTGGAAATCTATATTATGCTAGTAATTGGTAAGTCTTTTATGGTTTTAATATAATTTTTATACCCCCAAGAGACATAATTTACTTTCACTGCAATTTTGGAAAAAAAAATCCAAAAATTAGCCCACAATTGTGGATTATAACCTTCAGTTTTGAACAACTTTTAGGCCCCAAAAAGGAAAGAGGGCAATGTGCATCTCGTAGACCCCACAAAACTCCAAGAGGCCATTTGGATGGTTGCTACCATCCACTTCACCTTTATACTATCATTTAGCCGATTACAGACACCCTCGTTCATTAAGTCAAAGGTGTCATTATTAGCCTTTAATTATATATGTAACTATCTAGTAGTCTTAATGGTTCTGAATAACATTATATGTCCCTATCATCATTTGAATTTTCAACTTCGAGTCTCGAAATCTTTGAAATAGTCCAATTTTGTGTATTAGCCTTCAAATTTAGCTTTAGTGATTTCAAGTCCAACAATGTTAGGCATCGAGGTGTTTCTCTGGATTCTCAAAGGGCCTTGAGAAACCTACTTGGTTCCCATAACCATCTCATTCATTCATTATTCCTTGGCCCACCCCTCTTTGTCATGTCTTAAGATGTTTTGTCTTGGCAGCCAACCTTTTCTTAGCCATAAGACAAGCTAACATCCAACCCTCAAGTTCCATGAATAGGTTTTATGAAGGATAATGGGTGTTTTATGCCTTGTCCTCGTCCCTCGTGCCTCGTACCCATGCACCGTGCCTTGGTAGCCCTGTATGTGCCATGGCCTGGCTAAGCAACATCGTCCATGCCTTAATTGGCAACACGAGTTAAGTGTTTGACAGTTTGAGATAGCTCTAGATTGATTAGAAATTGACACAACAACTATTACAAGGAGTCCATGATATCTTTTGTTACACCAGATCATATCTTTAATAATGAGTACGTGGTTGTGACAATACGACAATTAATAGCGACGGAGGGATTAGTAATTGTTTGGTACTCCTATCACTTTGTATCGACTAAAAGTGAAAGAAGTATAAAAGGAGTGAGTGGGTGAAAAAGGAGTACAAGTTTTGTTTGGAAAGGAAGTAAATAAAGGCTATATTTTAGTGAAAGAAGAGGGGATGGCATAAAGGAAGCTAGAGTGAGTGAATGTGAATATCTTCTTGCCCTTAAAATTACACACTATTAGTCGGCGCACGTCAATCTCATCATTCCTTTTCCTCCTCCTCTATCTTTCCTTCACATTGTGCATGTATACATCCACCATAATATTATTTTTAATAAAAAAATATTATAAAGATTTTTTTTTAGAAATAGTTAAATATAATAATCGACCTTCTCATCAATACTTTTTCAAACATTCATCCTTATATAACGTCCCGTCTTTCATATTCATCTTTTTTTAATCATAAGGTACATTTATTCAAATTTAATCGTCGTGTTACTAGACTAAAAAAATACAGATATACAGAGTACATGACAATGAAAATATGATTGAGGTACACTGTGAAGGCATGGACGCATGGTGGGTCAACACTTTAGCATATTACTGTGTGATATATATATCCTGTCCATAAATGGAAATACGATATGTTGGCAATTTGTCACTCATTATTTTTGGCAAAAAGGCAAAATCTCTGGGAAAAAAATTGGCCTTCAGAGTTCTTGTCATTTTCGTAGTGGGTTGGCAAACTTATAACGCATCAAAGAGGCCCAAACTTTTTTTTGGGTGGCAAAGAGGCCCTTTAACCCACATTATTAAGCCCATAAAACGCATAGGCAACCCAAAACACTAAATTTAGGTGAGGGAACGTTTTGGGTTTCTCTCTTTCAAATCAAAAAAAAAAAAAAAAAAAAAAAATTATGATCGATATACAGTAAAATTAAAACAATTTTCCCACCCGAAAATCTCAAAAATTTTCACTTTTATGTTTACAATCTCTCCGTCAAAAGTTTACAATCTCATGTAATTTTCTTCGGTGTTTATTTTAGTTTATGTTAGTTTCATACTTTATATTTTCATCCATTTTTTTTATTTTTTTTTATATAGGTTACACTTTTATTTCATGATTATTTTAACATACTCTACATATACTCTTTAATATAGTTTCAACCTCTCCTGCATAATTTCACTTATTGTCTCCTCTTCGCACTCTTAACATCCTTAGTATCCTCGGAGGGAGTAGAATAGATGGATGTGGGCAAGCTTTACATTAATATTGTGAGAGAGATAATATCACACGTTATACCCTAATTTTTAAAATCACTTTGCAAAGATCTTAAATTGTTACTGGAGGCTCCTAATTTACTTTAATTTGTAATAATAATGGTATTATCATCTATTTTAAATCCTCAATTCAATTATAACACGTCTACTACACACATGGGTGCACCATAAAATAAGTACACCTACACAATATATCTAATCTTTTAGATATCTCAGTCACATTTTTAAATACAGTCATAATAAAATTACATCTCCGAATCATGCCAAAAAAAAAAACCTTGTTTCTTACCCATGCCGTTTCGATCTTCTCAGCTTTAGAACGTTTAATATGATAATTTTCTTTTTTAAATTAATAGTAAAAAGTAGAATAATCAAAATAAAAAGAAGACAAATACATTTGGTAAGGGGCGTGGTACATGGTTGCATCACTCTAGTAGTTGTCTATCATGTCTTTCCTAATTGTCCATAACTAGTAGAAGTCATCCCTTTTTCCTAATTCTCTTAATCAATATAAATAAACACAATTTAATTCAATAATTAACACTAATAATACTCGAGCATGCTTTATTTCTTTCGAACTACTCTTTGTCGTCCACCTTTACTATTAGTCCAGCTAATTAATACAACATCCATATTATGCCAAAACATTAATCTTAGCTAATTATATATGTTGTTTTCTCATTTGGATGAATATAACTAGTTATTTTCTAATAAAAAAAGTAATTCTATATTAATTTTATAAAATGTACCATATTATATACACCTAAATTAATTTATCCTAAGATAAATTTAATAACGCATGCATTAGATTTATGTAGTGCTGTCATTTTCATTGGTGGACCAAAGGTGTCATTCTTCACTTACTAATTTGTAATCATCTTCATTTTTAAGGGTTTTTGTGTTCGTTTTCCTTGAATCAGCTTAACACGTACGTCATTTGAAAATATGATTAATTGAGCATGTATGTATTTAATTTTAACTCTATGATTGAATTAGTAGAAGCTATAATATGTAACAGATACATTGGATTTAATTTGTATTTTTGTCAACGGTGCCAAATTTTCTAGGTAATCTATTAGTTAATGTGTTTGATAATTGTGACGGTTATCCTAATTTTTGCCTCAGATTTTGGATTTGAGTTGACTATCTATAGCATTTCTGAATCTTATGTTTGTGAATTGTCAATTTATCATGAACTTCTAAATTCTAAAGGTTCTTAAGAAATTATACTTGTATTGAAATTCTATTTATATAGCTAACCTTTATGACTCTCAATACACCAAAATAAGCTATACAAGTATACACATTATAGCATAACTAGTGTTACTTTAATTTACTTGTTTTCTAATCGATTAGGTACAACACCTAAGGCATGTTAGGAAGGGGTTTTAGGTCCTAGTCTACTCACCTTAATTTCAAATAAATCCAGATTAATAAGGACAATCCAAATTATATCTAAAATAAGTTCTAATAAAGTCTAATACGTTTATTAGTTCAGCTCTGAATAATCGAAAATCAAGTAAATAGAATTTATTTCTAAATTGATCAATTTCCACCCAATTTCGAACCATATTGTGATCCTTTACACAAAGTAATAGTTTAAAGTACTCGTCGAAGGGTATTAATTTGTTTTCTATTAGTACTTCAAGTTGTTATATAGAATCGGTAGTCTATCTCTATGAATAAAAGAATAAAGCTAAGATACAGTATAGATATATAATATTATGGAAAAAATATACTCGTAGTTGTATATAATTAATATAAACTTTATAAGATTTTCAGCAAATAATATTTCAAATAATGAATCAATATTATCAGTTGTAACATCATTGTATGAATAAAAGGGAAGAAGGAACACCTCATGCATATAACAAGATGGCCATCATGTTTTTATGTTATTTGATGTTTTCTTGTTTTTCGTTATCGTTTACAGACATTAAGAAGAAGCTAACAATAAAGCTTAGAAGCATGCAAGAATTAGTTATTGTGAGATTTGTCACGCTTGTAAGATCAACATTATATAATATGCATGATATATTTATATAATTATAACTTATATTATGCGTTGATTTTTTTTTTTTTTTTTGGTCCGATATTTGCAAGTCAGACACTTTGAGAGTGAGGGGAAAGGGTAAGGGATCCCCACCCTCAAAGTATCTCTAGTGGGGATTAAACTCCTAACCTCAAGGTTGGAAGGTACAATCCTTACCACTAGACAAAGCTTAGCGTGATTTATATTATATGTTGATTGGATGTCCAAAATTTTATAGTATATGTTTGTAGTCAGACGTGTAGAAAGCAACACTAATCATAGTTTAAACAAGTTACATAATACAAACAACATAATGTTTATTTGCCTCTCCTTTCATTTTCAATGGGAAAGTTCTTATAACTATCTAGCTCATTTATTATAATGTATGTAAGTGAAGCCTTGATTTGAAGAATTATAGAAAGAAAAAAAAATGTACGTACGACATACTACTTATG